TAGGCAGGTTTTTGTAATAGGTGTCTGAAACCCTAGTTTTAATATCATATAAAAATTCAGAACAATGCTCTGCTCTCCCAAGGTCCACTATAATTGGGTATTTGCCACAATCTCATGCCCAGAATTTTATTTTTTGATGTCAGTGTATTTCCTAAATCAAAGATGGAAGGGATTGCCTCTAGAACTTGCTCCATCTAAAGATATAAAGATTCTGAGCTAGTCAGACTTGAAACTTTTTTCCTAAGTTATTGTTTTACATTCATTAAATAAAACAACAATTAAAAAAAAATGTTTCAAGGCCCAGTAAGCCCAACAGATCCTGATAAGTGTGGAAACAAGATTCCTCTCTCTAAGCTTTTGCCTGAGGAACCTGTGTAGACTGGTTGCAATCAGAAGTCTTCATATTCTTTCTTCAAAAGTTTGTTTACTTGTATGGAGGGCCATTAGGCATCTTATAACATAATCTACCCTATCATAAAAGACTATCCTGTGTTGTGCTTTGTGCTACAGATACATTTTAATACAGGAGCCAGGTATGGTGGTGCATGACTGCAATCCTAGTGACTTGGTAGTCTGAGGCAGGAGGATGGCAAGTTCCAAGCCAGCTATAGCATTTTAGTGAGGCCCTTGGTGAGACCCTGTCTCAAAATAAAAAGGGGGTGGGGTCTGGGGATGTGACGCAGTGGGTAAGCACTCCTGGGTTCAATCCCATCTGCTGTAAATAATAATAATAATAATAATAATAATAATAATAATAATAAATTATAAGAGAACAGTAGAGAATTGGAAGATGAGACAAGGGGCAAAGACAGTTTTAAGTGTAGAGGATAAAGACTCTTTATCTTCAAACTAACATTTGGCAAGGAGGACTTATGAGGGAGAAAGATAACCTATAGTCAAATCTTCCAAGTAAAGCATGCAAATGAATAAACTTTCAGTTCTAGCTAACTCTTGACTCTATGTCTTTTGCAGCGTAATTATGATTTTTTTTTTCTTTTTTCTTGTGGTACTGGGGATTGAACTCAGGGAGGATCTACCATTGAGCTACATCCCTGGTCTTTTTAATTAATTAATTAATTAATTAATTTTAAAGAGAGAGAGAGAGAGAGAGAGAGAAGTTTTTTAATATTTATTTTTTAGTATTCGGCGGACATAACATCTTTGTTTGTATGTGGTACTGAGGATCGAACCCGGGCCACATGCATGCCAGGCGAGCACGTTACCACTTGAGCCACTAATTTATTTTTTTAAAATATCAAGATGGAGTCTCACTAAGATATCCAGCTTGGCCTTGAGCTTGCCATGTCGTCCCACAGCCTCCCAAGTCACAGGCCTCCCAAGCCTGGCTCATGTCTCATTTTGAGAATAAAAATTAAAAATTTTGTTCCCCCCATAAAAACATTATTTATTTATTTCTCCTTTGAAATAACAAATGCCAAATTCTCTATAGGATTTAATGACACTGAGTATCAAAATAAATATCATTACTCTCATAATAAAGAATAATTTTACATTGTTAGCCAGCCTCTAATAACTGCAGAATCAGTTCTTGTCCTTTGCCTTATCCCTTCTGCTAAGAATTTTGGTCCTATCAGCCTGTGGTTGCAAAAACAGTACAATTTGCAATGTTAGTTGGCAGCAAACTCTGTCACTCCTACTGGGCTGGCTTGGCTAAAGGACAAGAGCTATTGTTTCAGGTTCTGATGCAGCTCCAATCCCACGAGATCACTATAATTGTCATCTGGTGCTACAACAGCTGCGCGGATCTGAGTCTCAGTAATTCCTGCACATCAGGTCTATATTTTTGAAGAAAAAGTTAATTAAAATTGTAAATACCGCTGCTTTTCATTTATTTGCAAATTTCTCTTATTTACTAAATCTCTTGTTATCTTATACCGCTAGCCACTCCACACTTCTGCCTTGTCTCACTAACCTGAGAGAGACATCTCTAATGGGTCACAACTCATTTTTCTTTTGAATGGGGAGAGTCCTCTAATCCTCTACAACATGATGATCCAAGTAGTTGCTACCGTGTTGGATGGTGGCACTTGGGATGACATCTATTTATTACTCTGGCTTTAAGTTGTTATTTCAGGAACATTAGATTCAATTACTGGTCACATTTCCCTTGGTGCTGAGGAGCTTAGAGAATGGGTTGAACTGGGACCCAGATGTTCACAGAATGCTGCTTTCATTTTAATCAACACTTAGACTTGAAAATATCAGAGGACAAAGAGCCAATGAGGCCATAAAGACAGGATTTGGTCATCAACATTACTGGTCTGGGACTTCTGAATGAGTTGAAGAACTGAGTCATAGTAATTCTTGTTTGATTTTACTTGTTTATACCCATTTGCGGGTATTATGTCTAACCAATTAATGATAATTTCACCAGAGGTTTGAGAATTATTAAATTCTCACATATTCAGAAGAGAAAAATTGGCAAATAAAAATTGGCACATAAATAAGCTCTACTAATTGGTTGTTGCCAACTGCATTCCGCAGCTCAGTCCCTACGCAGGCTTTTCCAAGTGAGTTTTATTTTTTCTAGATTGGTTTACTGTTTATTATGAATGATCTTAACTGATTAAAAATGTAGGAAAATTTATATTTCCACTTTTGGAAGTATGGTAGATTAGTCATCCAGAATGGTTTTCCTATTTGAAACGCTGAAATATTGGGCAAGTTGTTTTATTTTTTTAATGTACTATCCTCTGACAGAAAAGTAAGGTTGCAGACTTTCCACACAGAGATGAAAGAAGAATTCTGGAAGTAAGAAGGTTCAAACCTGTTTCTCTAAGGGTTCCTGTTAAATCTCAGAGACCCAGGACCCCTATAGCTTCATGCATGGAATATGGGGCCAGGAAGCAAAGCCCAGGGACTGCCCTAAATACAAATCCACCAGAGGCATCCACATCCAATGAGACAGCAAACTCTGTCACTCCTACTGGGCTGGCTTGGCTAAAGGACAAGAGCTATACCCCTCAGTCTCAGGGTGATAAGAAAAAGCCCAGCACAGAGTAGGCAATGAGAAATCTTGTCTGTCTTGACTTTGACACCAAGTGAAAGGACAAAGTTCAATTCTGTAGAGACTTCATGGTGCAATTCTGGGTTCATATGGGCAAGCATTCTGAATTTGTGCTGCCCATGTGGTCAGAAAACCTTCAGGTGCTGAATATAATTTAAAGTGGCCCCGGGTTGGTGATGCCCTGGATGACTGGCAAAAACAACAGGCTTTAAGCAAATAAAAATGAAGAAAGTCTCCATTACATGATTCTTGTGAAAGAAAACTCTGAAGTTTCCATATAACATAGGAGAAGGTAAAATTGTCCCAATCAGAAGGTCTGAGATGCAAGAAGGAATGGCAATATTTAGCAAGACTATTGCTAAATCTGTGGATAAATGTAAATGTATATTGTATAAAATAATAATATTTTACTTGTGGGAGAAAAGCAAGGTAAAACTGAAATATTAGACAACAATGGCTTGTACAGGGGGGAGGTGAGAAGAGTTAAACATTTTCTAAGATTTTTTTTTAAAGAGAGAGAGAGAGAGAGAGAGAGAGAGAGAGAGAGAGAGAGAGAGAGAGAGAGAGAGAGAGAGAGAGGGAGAGAGAATTTTTTAGTATTTATTTTTAGCTTTCGGTGGACACAACATCTTTATTTGTATGTGGTGCTGAGGATCGAACCCAGCATCGCGCACATGCCAGGCGAGCTCTCTACCGCTTAAGCCACATCCCCAGCCCCTAAGGTTTTTTATATTATTTAGGATGGAAATAAAATATTGATTAAGTGTAGTTTTAAAGTATGTATGTGAAACTAGCTTTAGTTGCCATTAAAAGGCTAGATATAGTATAACTTGCAAATAAATAAATAATGAAAACATAATGGGAAAAACAAAACAGAAAAGCCTTAGTCAATCTAAATGAAGGCAAGAGAGCTGAGGAAAAAAGATAAAAAAGAAATAGAAAGGAAGAGAGATAGAAAGTATATGCTACAGTTCTATAGATAAATCCACATACAACAGTAACCACAAGATCTGTGAGAAACAAATCTCTGTTGTTTAAAAATTAAAAAAAAAATAACTTGCGTTAAAGAGAAATTTTTTCAAATGAAATAAAATACTGCTTTCTATGAGAGACATAGCTACACATAAAAACACAAAGATTGAAAATCAAAGGATTAGAAAAATAACACAAACTACATCTAAAGAAAACCTAGAGGATATATTGGTCAAAAGGTATAAAGTTTTCATCAAGATGAATAAATTCTGGGGATCTATAATACAGCATGGTGAGTGTAGTTAATAATAATACATGTTTGAAATTTGCTAAGAAAATAGATCTTAAATACTTTCACCCCCAAAATATTTAAGTGTGAGAAGTGATGTGTTAATTACCTTGATGTAATCATTTGGAAATGTATACATACATCAAAACATCACATTGTGCATCATAAATATTTATATATACACATGCAAGTAATTTTAATTTGTCAATTACAGTTTAATAAATCTGGGAGAAAAAGATGTGAATAAAAATTAGTTTATGCTCCCCTTAAAGGAAAACTGGTTAAATTAATATTAAGCAATATACAGTTTATGGGTTAAATATGAAATTACTTCATGATGAAATAGTTCAATTTGGATGATTGGACTCAAAATTTGTGTCTTTCCAAACATGATATGTTGAAATCCTAACCTTTAAGTGATGGTTTGGGGAGGTGGGACTTTTGGGAGGTGAGTATATTCTGAAGACAGAGTTATCCTGAATGGGGTTAGGGCATTATGAAATAAGCCCGAGAGGCTCCCTTGCCCCTCCTACCGTGTGATGACACAGGGAGAAGGTGTCATCTGTGAACCAGAAAGTGGGCCTTCTTTAGACACAAATCCCCTGGTGATATTTGTTGTTGTTTCTCTGTCTAGAATTCTAAAATTGTAACGATTTCTTCAAAGCATAACCAAAATGCTTAAAACTTTTTCTCTTCCTTCTTTTTCTTTAGAAGCAAAGAACTCTGACAATCAGTCATGATACCTTGACAGCAAAAGGAGATGAGCTAAATAAGCAGCTTAAAGAGTAGTGTTTAAAAGCCTTCAAGCTTAAGAAACAATTATATTCTGTGACATTTTTTGAAAGAAGATTAGAAGAGGTAATCTCCCAAAGAGTTTTCTGCCGATGCTTTGATTTGAATTTCCAACCTCCAGAACTACAAGTAAAGTTTTTCTGTTATTTACCACTTCATTGCGTGGTGTTTTGTTATAGCAGACTGAATAGACTAAGACAATGATATAACAAATCAAAACTTGCATGTACTTAATGACATGGCAAAATATAGAGAGCAAAACTGGGCATTACTTCAAACGTACATTGATAAATCTACCAGCATAATGGGAGATATTAAATGTTGATCATAGTGAATGACAGATAAAGCAGACAAAATATCTATAAGGATAGAGAAGATTTAAAGAACAAAATTGGTAAACTCAATCCTTCAAATTAGAGTCTACACATTCTTTTGAAGTATATATGATGATTCGAAACTGACATTGTCATAACCAGAGCTTTTGTATTTACTTTGTAGTGAGCTACTTCAAGTCAAAGGACTGGTATCATTTAGATCACTTCACTAACCACAACACAACCAAGTTAGGAGTCATTAAACAGATACAAATAGAAAAATTCTATATATTTAAATATTCTGAGACCACATGTACCTAAGGATCAAAGAAAAAGATTACAGTAATTAGAAAATATTACATTCTGAATCATAAAAATACTGCCCGTCAAATCTTTGGGGAGTCATATGAAGTAGTTACTAAAACTTATTGTGCTTGTCAGCTTTCCATCATTGTGACAAAATACTTGAAATAATCAACTTATAAGGAGTAAAGATTAATTTTGACTTATGTTTCACAGTTTCAAGTTCATAGTCACTTGACTCTGTTGCTTTTGGTCCTGTGGTGAGGCAGAGCTTCATGGCAGGGAGTGCATGATAGAACAAAGCCCCTTGCTTCATGGTCCTCTGAAAGCAAAGAGAGAGAGAGTAGCAGCCCCAGTCCCAATACCAGCTTCAGGAGTGCACCCCTAATGGCCTAACTTCCTTCCTCTAGCCCCACCTCTTGAATGCTCTATAACTTCCAAAATAGCGCCACTAATTGGTGACCAAGCCTTGGAAGTTTGTACACACAGCCTATAGCAGATGTCAAATATTAAAATGTTGAAAGTATTCCTCCTAAGAGAAAAAGACATCAGACCATTATTACTACTTCTATTCCGCATTGTGTGATAGACATGAAAAAGTAAATGTTTAAATATTAAAAGGAAGAAGCAAAACAACTGTGATTTGCAGGTTGTTGATTGCCTATGATGAAAATAATCTAGAAATAATTACAATTAAAAAAAGTTTGTCAGCATCACTAGAAGCAAAATAAATATATATGTGTATGTGTCAGTCATATTTCTATAAATTAGCAATGATTATGTAAAAACTTTGTGTAAAAATACCATTTACAGTGGCCTAAAATTGAAAATAAATATAAAAATACATAATTGACTTATGGAGAAAATGATTAAAACTTTAAAAAAAATATTGAAGAATACCTGACTGGAAAGATAGATAATGTTTGTGTATAGAAAACAGTTTTGTAAAAACTTAAATTCTTCCACATTCATCTATGAATTTAGTGAAATTCCAATACAACAAAACTCTTCACTGTGGCTTTTGTGGAGTTTGACAAGCTGATTTGAAAATTTACATGAAAGATTGAAAGACCAAGGAGGAAGAAAGGTGGAAAACTTGTGCTTACAGGGTATGAAAACTTATTAGACTTCGTAATTAAGAATAATGATGTCTGGGCTGGGGATGTAGCTCAGTGGTAGAGCACTTGCCAAGAATGTGTGAGGCCCTGGGTTGTAGCAATAGTCCTGAAAAAAAAAACAACCAAAAAAAACACTTTATCTTATATTGAGACCCAAACTCAATCTAGATTGTAAAAGAATTAATGTGAAAGGCAAATCCAGAAAATTTTAGAATAGCATATAGGGGAATATCTTCAAGAACTTGAGTAAGGGAGGGTTCTTAAAGAAGACACAGAAGTGCAAACTAACATGGGAAAAGATTAATGCATTATATAGTCAATTATATTAAAATTAGGAACTCAGGCCATCAGAAGACACAATAGTGATAATGAAAAAGATAAACTGAAAGTCTATAGGTTTTTGCAACTTGTATTATTGGCAAAAAATTAGTATCTAGAATATAAAGTTGATGTCAGAGGTTCCCAGGTGGAGAGTGCAGGTACACCTTTATAACATGGCAGCTGGCTTCTTTCAGGATGACTGATTCCAAAGATGGTCAAGATCTTTGATGTCCTTTGTGATCTTGCCTCAGAGATCACAGTCCATCATTTCTTTAATATCTTTTTGCTTACACCCATCAGCTGTGTTCGCCGTGAGAGTGTATTTCATAAGGATGTGATTACCAAGAGGTGAGAACCTTCTGTGAGGCTAGTTACCAAAATTACACATCTGAAAAATTGTCAAAAATCAAAAAGTCTCTCGCTCCCTATCATGAAAGGGACACAGTCACATGCATCAGAGTTGTAAGGATAACTCTCAGGCAGAAGAGTTATCATGCTGCATGGATTCTCCTTCACTTTTGGGGAGAAAGAAAGACTTGAGGGCTAATAAGCCAAGTCGTCTCTCCTCAGTCCAAGGATGTGGAGCAATAGAAAAACTATTTTGTGGTAATATAAACTGTGGGAATAGAAATTAAACTTGTGGGATTATAAACTGGCACAACCATATCCAAAAATATGTGGGCTTTCTGGAAAAACTGAACTTGTGCCCAACCTGTGATCCAGAAACTCCATTCCTATCAAGTACCTTAAAGACACCTTTGCACATGTGCACTGGATAAAATGTTCACAGCAGTTTAAATCAAAAGATCAAAAATTCAAAAATAATCTATAAGTAGATAAAATAATTATGGTCTATGCTATGGATTAAATATACTTGTGTCCCATAAGGACCCGTCATAAAGGCTTGGCTCCCAAGGGGGAGCTGTTGGGAGGTGGTGGAGACTTTGAAAGGTGGGGCCTCCTGAGAGGTCCTTAAGTCCTTAGGGGGAGGTTATTATGGTGTGAATCCTTAAGTTCTTCAGAGAGGATTATCATAAAAGGAACAAGCCTGGTCTGGTTCACATTCCCTTCTGCTCCTGTTGGAGATGTGATGATGGCTTCCCATAGTACTCCTGCCATGGCTTCACTCCATGAAGTAATACAGCCCCCATGAGGCCTGAGCCCTATGACCTTGAATCTCCAAAACTCTGAGCTAAGTATATCTTTTCTTTTTATGAAGTCAGTTGCCTCAGGTATTTCACTGAAGTAACACAAACTGACCATTACGTTATATCTATAAAGTGGAATACTATACGGTAATGCCAAAATCAGTGAACTACATACAGGTACATGTATCAACCTTAGGGAATCTGAAAAACAATGTTGAACAAAAGACTCAAGTCATGAGGGAAGAGACTCAATATATTTTTTTAGAAAGCCATATGTATGAAGTAAAACTGTAAAGAAAAGCCAGAGAATGATCAATACAAAACATAGGATGGTGGCTATTTCTGTGGGAAAGCAATCAAGAAGCAATTGGAGACGGGTTCATAAAAGGTTTTAAGGAACTGCTGATATTCTATTTCTCAATATAAAGAGCTCGATAGAGAGCTTATTATTCTTTAAACTCTACTGAGACATTTATACAGTCCCTTTGTAAAAATGATATGCTTCACAATGAAAAACATTGAAAATTAAAGTGTTCTTTAAAAAGGACACAATTTAAAATGTCAGAGCTATTTCAGTGAGCAATGAATGTTCTTAAATATTCATCATTATGCATCAAGCATCTCCCCATCCTCCATTCTTCCCTGTCAAAATAGAAAAGTATAAATGTACCGAACCTGGAAAAGAGAGTGGAGTTTCCTTAATTTGAAAATGTTATGCTAAAAGGCATAGTAATTTGCCTGGGTCCACTGATTCTTTGTCTGGCTCCAGAGCTCTGATGTGGAATTTCAGGAGAAGAGCTAAAATAGCAGCCCCAATCCCAACTTTGTGCAAGAGAAAAATTAGAATTTAGTCAAAACTGACTTATTGGGTGAATTCTATTTTTCAGGTCTGTAGCATCCATAATTTTAATCTCGAAATATACATTGCCTTCTTTATTCTCCTGATTGTTATTAAAAGTTTCAGACAAGAAATTTTAGCAACTTCACTATTACCTAAGTGGCTTTAAATACTAGGGTTCTGATGATTAAAATTTAGTAGAAAGAATATTTCCAGAAATAAAGACATTTTTTTTCTAATGCATATACTAATCACTAAAGTTTTAGAAAGTAAAACTCTTGCCAAATCATAGATACCTTCAATAATGTATATGCATTTTAATTACATAATTATATAAAAATAATTCACTGGCACAAAAAATCAGCAGCATAGATTTGATATACCCATGTATCACGTAGAGAGTTCTTTGGTTGCAAGCCACCAAGTTCAAGTATGATTTAGTTCAAGTATGAACTAAAAAAAGAATTTCCAGAAAGGATATGGAATGTTTTATCAAAGTGAAGAAGCAACTGAACAACTAGACTTTGAAAGGCAGGAATTATAGTAGCTCTAGGAATCTACATAATGGGACTTAATGGTCCGTACTTTTTTCCCTAGGTACAATAATCAAAATAGATTAGCTTCACTATTTTTTTGATTCGTCTGCCATTGTGCTCAACTTTCAAATTCCTGCTATGATCTGGACTGATTTGGGTCATGTGACCATTTCTTGATAAGAGGAAAGTACATTTTAATGGACATTTTCTCTAAGACTGCTACTATAGGGTTGCATATTAGGTGAGGGGCAAGATTTTCCAAAGGTGCTGTTACTGAAAGAACATTGAGGTTGGGTTGGCAAAAGAGCAGATAACCACTCTATGTCCTTTAACAGAAATTATTTTTGCTGTAATGTTCTTATTCAGAATCATTGTACAAAATAAATTAATGTTACAAACATCTTGGCACTGTCCAAGTCTGCTGGTCTGCACGGCTTAAACAGCAGAAATTTATTTTCTCTTAGTTCTGGAAACTGGGGGTGTAGATTGGGATTCCAGCACTTGGGTTCTGGTGAGGGCATTCTTCCTATCTTGTGGACAACTTCCATCTCCCGGAGTCGTCATATGGCCTTTGCTCAAA